GTACCTAACGACAGTCCCAGCTGGGTAGGAAACAGCTTTTTTCCCAACTTTTGCTTTGTGACTGGTGGAGTTGGGTTAGGTGGAGGGGAATGGGGGCACAATGAATTAAAGTTCCGACAGCGATCTTCAAACACTTGCTTAGCAAATGTTTTATATCTCATTCCACCCAAGTCCTGTTGACTTTCTGCCAAAAGCTAAGCAGTTCCCCAGTATGTTTATTTTCCGCCCCACATGAGCAGGCTGTCCTTTCCAGGCAATGCCAGCAAATGAAGGAGGTCGGGAGCTTTCCTACCATGTACCAATGCTGGAATGAGGGAGATGACAAGAGCATTGTGGGGAGGAAGGGCAGGACCGGGAGGACACAACCCCTCAATCTGTGGTTTGTGACTGCACCCAAAGGCTTTTGTTTCACGAAAGCCTTTTTGTGGCCAAAATTAATCCTGTCCCTTCCCTCAGCTGCTCAGGTTTGGTTCAACACCTCCCTTGAGCCAGCTTGTGCTGCTGGGCATTGAGGGAATCCCACTCAAGTCCAACTTAACCCTTCTGCTAATGCATCAGCTGTGGCCGGTGGAAGGATACAAGCGCTTCCTGCCCCTATTTTGGGGCAATACCCTCCCATTTTTGTTGCAACTTGAAATGAGAAGCAGGAGATGGTTGATCTGTGCTTCTTCCACCTGTGTTGCTTTGCAGAAGTGTCCAACTTTGTTTTTCTTATAGACCTCTGATGGCCTTGGGGAAACAGGCACTTCCATACCCATTGCCCAAGAGGGGAAGAGAAGGCAGGAAAACCCACATGGCTTCCCAGAGATCATAGAATCATAGAATGGTTTAGGTTGGAAGAGACCTTAAAGATCATCTAGTTCCATCCCCCTACCGTGGGCAGGGACACCTCCCACCAGACCAGGTTGCTCAAAGCCCCATCCAGCCTGGCCTTGAACACCTCCAGGGATAGGGCATCCATAGCTTCCCTGGGCAACCTGTTCCAGTGTCTCACCACCCTCACAGTAAAGAATTTCTTCCTAATATGTAATCTAAATCTCCCCTCTTCCAGTTTGAAGCCATTCCCCCTCGTCCTATCGCTACATGCCCTTATGAAAAGTCCTTCCCCAGCTCTCCTGTAGACCCCTTTAGATACTGGAAGGCCACAATAAAGTCTCCCCAGAGCCTTCTCTTCTCCAGGCTGAACAGCCCCAACTCTCTCAGCCTCTCCTCATAGGAGAGGTACTCCAGCCCTCTGATCATCTCCGTGTCCCTCCTCTGGGCCCACTCCAACAGGTCCATGTCTTTCTTATGTTGGGGGTCCAGAGCTGGATGCAGTACTCCAGGTGGGGTCTCACCAGAGCAGAGTAGAGAGGAAAAATCCCCTCCCTAAATGCAGAAGCAGAGCTCAGATTTCCTCCTCTTAGTCACCACCACCCCACTGTTCTCTGTCAAAGGGACAAAACCCTGTTTCAGTTCCCCCCTCCCTCCCTACCTTCAGTTGAGTGTTTGAACGCAGCGAGTGCAGATCAGGCTGTTAGCTACAAACTTTGGTCTCTGCGTGATCCATTACAGCACAAGGTGTGAGTGTTTCTTGATCAGCTGAAGCAGCAGGTGAATTACCAC